TGGATGGAGTGTGATTTCCAATTTTTAATTTTCTGAAAATTGTTTAAGTTGCCGGAGCCGATGGCCGTCTTCGGTGGAGAGGTGGGGGGAAGGTGGTGTAGTGGAATGATAGGATGAGGTAGGTGATGTGGCATCAGTATAAATAATTAATGTATATTATATTATATTTTAATATTAAATAAATTTATTTACCACTTGATTTTTGAAATATTTTAATAAGTTTGTCATTTATGAAATGTAAACTTTAAAACTATGAATTATGTATTATTCCCATCATATTATACAGGCAAATTTGCATCGTGAAAATAAATCATTATGCACAATTACAAAACCCAATACACAAATATAACGCATAATTGTGAAATTATCAAATTAAAGCATCAATTATCAAATATAGCATGAAAAATTTGAGTGCAGAGAAAAGCGATGGTTTGGCATAATTAAATAAAAGCGCTTGTGTTGATAACATGTTATAAAATTAGAGAAATATCGAAAATAAATAAGGACTCAAAACTCAAGTGTGTTTTATTGAGAACCAATATCTCATATTTATAGGATTCAAAATAAAAGTTACAATTGGAGTGAAATAAATCTTCTAGACTAAATAAGACTGATCTAGGTACCTTGATAATACTAAATAATCATCAACAATTATTTCATTATTTTACAACACATCTAATAATTTTTAAACTCCATTCAAATCACGTACATGGCAATCTAAGTTGGAGGAACTAACCAAAAATGCTGGGACCGTGTGTGGATTTGATCATATCAAGGAGGGGAGGAAGCTGAAGGTAGGTGAACAAGGTACCTGGTACACAAGTCAATATGATTATTGGTATGAGAAGCAGGCCATTTTTTTGAGCAATTACAAGATATACTGTAGAACTAAAGGCGATCATTAGAAATGCTACAGAGAGGAACAAGGCTATTAGGCCAATAATCAATCTGTTGGGCAAGGAGTAAAGAAAATCATTTACTGCATAGCGGGTGGTGAAAATGGATAAGAAAGATATAACAGTAGTAATTGATGAGAGAAGTGCAAGAGAGTCTGCAATTGCAAAGGCTATGAAGGAACTCCGATTGGAGAAAATGGGGAGGCCATTGGTATTGTTCCCTCCAGGTACTGTGATTGCAGCAGCAAATGCCACTGTTGCAATGAGTGATGCTGCAACTGTGCATGAAGTTGCCATGCTTATGATCCATTGCGTCTCATATGCAGCCATTTCACGGTGCTCTTCATTGAAGATCGTCAGTGGTGTCTTCCCATCGGAATTCTTTGACTTCCTTTCTTGAGGCAGTACAAATTTCTCCACTTCCTGCAATAAAATTTTTATCAGAGATCAACTTTTGTATGCTCTGAGTCTGCACATATGAGATAACTACCCAACAAGAAATCTCATTTTTCCGAATTTTACTACTTTCAGAAATCAGATCCAAGTGGAGCCAAAAACCAGGTGAGTCAATCTACGCAGAGTGAATTGGTCCCTAAGGAACCCCACAAAGGACTGCGGTCCGATGGGTACATGAAAGTGACGAAGTTTCTTTGACTACACAATCCATGCCTGTCTCCTGGAGCAAATTGGATGGATTTCGAGCTTAAGAATTCATTACCTTATACCACTGCAGTTCACGCTGCATTAGAAGAACAGCTCCAGGTTTAAGATCAAGTCGGTCATGACAGGCTTTATATCCCACTAAATGCAATATATTGTTCCTTCTGTTATCCAGTAGCAGCGATAAGGACATCTTGTACTGTCCACTCTGCTGATGCACAATCTTGAAAATCTTTTCGTGACGGTACATGACAGCAAGATGAAATACTGAATGGTTCTCTTCATCCAAAAATGTTATTGCATGAGGAAAGGACTCAAGAATTTCTTTGACAATCTCGTTTATTCCATTCCGAGCCCCTAAGAGGAAGGGCCCTGTAATTATCGATTTAGCTTCGGTATTATCCAAACTTCTGATTTCCGAGCACACACGTTTTACTAGTTGAAGTGCTTGATGATGCATAAATTTTCTGTGACGAACGCGTTTGAGGGGTGGCACTGCAATTGCAACAAATCACATTACTTCATAGGTAATAATCTATTTATTTGTATCTCAGGATGTTAAGTGCAAGTTAGGTATGTAGCGTTAGACTCTTCTAGACTGTATAAGATTTTAGTTTCTTTTTCTTCCATAATACTGTCCAATGTCTAATCCACCTTACCAAACAACACAAGTGGCTACAGGACCATATTCCTTACCCATCATTTCAAGCACTTTCCAAAGTATTAAGTGCATCTCTTTGCATACTGCAAAAGGGAAAAACCCAAGCTTGTGAGGATTAGAAATAACTATTGCTAAATGTGGAGTAATACTCAAGATTTTTCTCTAAACTTGAAAAGCGAGAGAAATGATATAGTAAAAAAATCAGATATTGGCTAATTACCTCTTGAAAATCGTTTTCTGCAACGCGTATTCCATTTAATGGGAGAATAATAAGATAAACTCATGCCTTCATGGAGCTTCTTCTCCGGCCTCACAATCAGTTTCATCGGAACACCTAAGATTCAAAGACAATTATGAATTGGAAAGTAATGCATCTTAGTAGACATTATCTAGGAACACCAACAATTCAAACAGGATCAACCATGGAAAATAATGTTTCTTGGTAGGCATCATCATGTTATTTAAAGCATAAAATTTCTTTTGTTTGGTCCCTTGACTTTTGAAACAGTTTAGAATAGGAAATTATGGAAATATTTCCTTGTAGCTTATATCCTAGTCTAGTTAATAATAGGATTTTAATTTTTTTCCCTTTTTCTTTTCCATCCATTGATCGGAATGTACACCTCTATATAGGATTGATTGATTATGTAATAAATCATTTCACCTAACAATGTATAATTACAAAAAAAACTATAAGCTGAGACATGGATTCAAAAACCCTGCTCTTTACCCTGTCAGTAATCCAACAAAAATCTGTTTGATCCTACTTAATGAGTTATGACACAAGTACCTTGCTGCGATGAAACCATTGGAGAAACCACTAAAGCGATAAAACTACCTGATCAAGAAAATTCAGCTCGACAGCAGTTCCAAGTAGTATTAGAAACATTTCTCGAAGAAGATTAGGCCAATTGGGAGCCCGGGAAGGTGAGCAGATTTTTTATCTGCCTAAAATCAATAGAAAAGGTTTGAAATGTTGGTATTTAAAACCAATCAACACGAGGCACACGGGCTAAAACGTTTTATGCTATGCATGTTTCCTTCTGTTCCCCTTCGTAATTGAGAAAATAGTACAGGGTAAAAGCTGTTTATTTCCAAATTTCAGTTAAAAGACAATCTGACGCTGTTAGAATCAAATGTGAAATTGGATAGATATAATTTTCAAAAACACATTCTCTTCAAGAAACATAAACTATGTTATTTTTATTTGATTTGAACTCCTCTAAGACTTCTCATCTCATCTGATGTTTAAAGTTTAGACATCTTAATCCCAGCCCCTTTTCTCCACTGCTAATAAATATAGATCTTATTAAAATTAGGGTGTGACCCGAATTCTAATTAAAGTCGACTTAAGAAATTCTATTTCAAATGTTATTTCGAAATCCTCTTCGAAATCTATTTGGCAATGTAGAAGTGACTCCAATCTCCAAATTTCCGGCTCAGTTTACACCAATCGAACACCACAATCACAAACCAAAACCAAAATCAAGAACCAAACCTCCCAAAACCGGTTGCTCTACGGGTTGCCCACAAAGGGCAAGGTGTGGACGGTATTATAGCCTCAAAGATCAGCTACACAGGCTGAAGGAAAGAGTAGAAACAAGCCACTGAAACAGGGAAGCACAAAGCCAAGAAGAAAGTGAAGGAGGCGCCCTTTTTCTCTCTTAAACAAAGGGGCTAATGACCAAACTTTCACACACACTTCAATAGTAACGGGGCAGCCTATATAAAGTACCAAGTGTGGGCTTTTAGATTAATAGGTAATAGGGCTCAATAGGTAGTATAAATGGGTTGTCAACTGAAAAAGCCATCCAAGAATTTTGAGTTGGGCCATGAACAACACTAACTAGATTAGGCTACTTCAAATGGTTCAAGGAGGTTATACGATTGGTTTAGACAATTGTGGTATCGATATACAATTTCAGTGATATACTGAAGCCTATGAAGTATAATCCAAACTAAAACGGTTTAATATCATCACCAGGGATTTATTGGATATCAAAACCCAACAAATCTCCACCTTGATACCCAATCAATCTGCAAGATAACAAAGCACAAAGTTTATACTCGCATAATCAAGGTAACCAATAAAATTGATATAACAAACCGTCCATCGTGTTTCGAACCTGAAACACATACCATACCTGCTCCACGTACTCACTAGGGCTAAGGTCAAGAAAATACCCAAGTAGAAGCAGATAATCACAGAATCAATCAAGAGCAAATAAACATGCGACGGAGATATCATATATAGGATAACACATAAATCTTTTCAAACATATTCACACAGAATCACATTTTAACACCAAGTTAATCAACAGGTCAACACATATGCAACAAATGCATAAATGACCCCATGAAAAGATCTCATCACACTTATCCTATCCCATTTTTTGTTGCTCACACCTCGAGAACACATCTCACCTCATCGTCCACCATGCTCACTAGACTGATCACTCAACTCACGTCTAACTGATAGTTCTCGGGATAAACCTCTATCACCACATCACTTCTCCCAACCTACGTGGATAATGGTTCACCAATAGAAGTGATAGAAGTGTCTCTCTCACCTCCACTTGATCAGGGTCTTTTCATAGATAAAAGATTTCAGACATTTGATCACCTCTCCACTCGTGATCCAAATGCCACACTCCACATCCCCGGTACAAACCATCAATGTACCCCTAAGCATCTATAATCCACCTTACCAAAAAAACATACAACACACTGCTAATGTATAACAACCTACTATGCAAGCAAACAATTACACCGAGTAATAAGATCATTCTAATTCATGCTAATGCACATATCAAACACATTGAAATGTAACATATAATCATGTAACGAAATTGATCAATCATACACATGCAAAAAAGGATTACACATGGATGCAAATGCAGTAACTAGGTTTACTCTCAATAAATCTCACTAGGGTCATCACTTGAGCCTATAGCCAAATTCGCCTCTCCTCTTACCATCCTGCTTATCATTTTCCTTCTTGGGGCAATCCATAATAAAGTGTCCAACCTTACCACAACTGTAACACCGTCTACCACTAGACTTGTCCCATCTTTTGCCCTTCTTCTTACTACCCTTATCACTTGAGTCAATACTCGAATCACCATTATATTCAGCTCTACCCAAATCCAACTGCTTGAACTTCATTCTACTCCTCATCATATGCAACCCACCACTTCTCTTATTCTCTTTTTCAACTTTAATCTTTATCTCCTTACTTCTAAGGAAATCTACAACAATCTCAGGTTTTAAAGTGACCATACCATACTTTATTGCATTCTAAACCTCCCTTTATAAATCAGGCATAGAATTCAGCAAAACAATGGCCTTATACATATCACACTTTCTCATCATAATTAACGATATCTTGAACCAACTTGTTAAAAACATTCGAATTGTCATCAAGATCTTTTGAAGAATCCATTTTAAAGGTGAAAAATCTTTTAAGCAAGTACAACTTATTAGGAGTAGACTTAAGCAAATATAAGTCCTCCAACTTTTGCCAAATCTCTTTAGTAGAATCAAGTTTTCTAATTTTTCTCAAAACAGTGTCGAATAGGTGTAAAATAATTGAAATGTAAGCAAGTTCATCATATTCTTCTTTTTGTATTTCTGTTAAATTTACAAGAAATTTACCGTCTATGGCCTTTGAAATTTTTTGTTGAACTAAAATCTCTTTCATCTTTTACTGCCAAATTGNTATGTTCCTTTGTGAGGAACGAGGATTCCAAAATATCGCCTCTTCCTTTTTTAAGGAACAAGGTCCGCCTTCGACAATACAAAAAAACACAAACTAAGGCTCACTATCAATGATGCAAGGTCTTACTAGTTAACCCCAGATATGTAGGCTCATATGAACTTGCCTCAATAATAGAGAGAACTATGAGCTAGCCACGATGTGCGAGGACTTGTTGGCTTGCCTCAATAATATGGGGTCTTACAAGCTAGCTCTAGACGCACGAGGTTTCAGAGCTTGTTGAAAAAATATAAAATGAATGAAATGAAACTTAATGCTGGAATGAAACTTCAGCAATAAAATGAAAATAAAAGAGATAGATTCAATATGTAAAACACATTGAAGGAACTTGATGATAGAATATGTAGAATACTTATTATTCATCTAAAGCTCAAGTAAAACATGAAGTACATAGCTCCATTTATAGAGTGAATTCCTAACTACATAACAAACTAAAGAAGTATCTAGAATAGGGTGGAAGGAGAGTTGTAATATGCTGAACGTGATCTGATCATAAGCTGCACGTGCTGGTAAGCATGTGAGATTAGAAGGATCTGGAAGTATTGCTGTGCAGGCCCTGTGAACTCATGAGATGTTGGGAACGTGAGGAATATTTCAACACCCCACACGATGACGTGCTAATGCTGAAATTTAAAATGGGATTAGCCTATTTACGAGAGCAGACCAATTTGAATCCGTGTATGACGAGATATGTGAATTTACCACTTTAGGCCCACCACTATTTGCCCTAAAGTCTCCAGCAACTGCAGCAACGAACCGAGCAAAAATTGAATTATGAACGCATATGGCAAAATCGTATAGATTTCACTGTATAACCTGAAACACAAAACTAACAACATAAAATCGTTAGAAATGTCGAAATAAAGATTATGTTTGAAGAAACTTTCACCGGAGGAGCCTGCACGCTCCACCACGCGCCTCGCCAAAATCCTCACGTGTAGCCTTCGTCGCTAGCCGTCAACCTCACGCGTCGGACCTCCAGCACCTCCTCCACCTGCACGTCTCAATTCCGGTCTCCCTTTCACCAATGGTCTAATGGATTAGCCGAAAAACTCAGTTGTGGTTCGGCTTTTTGTGCCGATTTTTGGATCTATTTTGCACAAAAATCACCACCAACGAATGCTCTAATACCAATTGTAGAAAAAATGACTCCAATCTCCAAATTTCTGGGCTTAATTTGCACCAATCGAACACTACAATCACAAACCAAAATCAAGAACCAAACCTCCTAAAACCGGTTGCTCTACGAGTTTCCCACAAAGGGCAAGGTGTGGACGGTATTATAGCTTCAAAGATCAACCACACAGGCTAAAGGAAAGAGGATAAACAAGCCACTGAAACAGGGAAGCACAAAGCCAAAAAGAAAGTGAAAGTGGAGACGTTTTTCTCTCTTAAACAAAGGGGCTAATGACCAAACTTTCACACACACTTCAATAGTAACGGGGCAGCCTATATAAAGTACCAAGTGTGGGCTTTTAGGTTAATAGGTAATAGTGTCCAATAGGTAGTATAAATGGTTTGTCAACCGAAAAAGCCATTCAAGAATTTTAGGATGAGCCATGAATAGCACTAATTAGATTATGCTACTTCGAATGGCCCTAGTAGGTTATATGATTGGTTTAGACAATTGTGGTGCCGATATACAACTTCAGTCATCGGTCGAGGCCTATGAAGTATAATCCAAACTAAAACAGTTTAACATCATTGCCCAGGATTTTTTGGGTATCAAAACCCAACAAACGAATTCTAGTTGAAGTTCTATTTGAAAGTCCAATTGAGAGTTGAAATTTGTGTTGAACTTTTTTGATGCAATTATGCTTGCCGGCGCTCGGGCTCCAGTAAAACTAGCATTCACTTGACGCCAACCGGACGCTCAAGCGGTGGGACGGCACCCGCCAGCGCTCTAGCACCATGTTCATCTAACCCAGGTCCATTTTCGCGTTTTACACGCATTTTCAGCATTTTGTTTCCTCCTACAACACTAATACTAGGGTTATAGACGTCCCCTATTTGTTCCCTATACATATTTGGCTCTTCTCTACAAGTTAGATAGATTTTTTAACCTCATTACAACTAAGAAAAATTATAAACACAAGATAGATTTTTTAACCTTATTACAAGTAAGAAAAATTATAAACAAAAAATCATTGTATTTTTTCTCAATATTTTAGTGAAATCTCATTTATTTTGTAAATTATCTTGTTCTTGTGATCAATTACTTCATATTGTGTCATTTTTTTTTTCTGACCTATTATTACAACAAATTAGTATGAAAACAATTTGGTATCTTCTTCGTTGTTTATAACAGATATGATAGTTGCTTCTCACACAAATTAAAAAATGCATCACCCCCGAATAAAAAAGCGGAGATACCGAATAAGATAACAGTACGTAAACACAGGAAAGGTAATTGATCATAAAAAGATACTAAAGAAACTGACAGGAATAGATTAAGTTCTGCCAAATATTTAAGTGCGCTCCACTTAGAAAAGCAGATGGTTCCTCAGCCATCAGTTCCAAAGGAGATGTATCTTGCCATGCCAACTTCGGGTTGTGTTCGAGTAAATGGAGAGCCAAATCTAGAATTTCAGCAAGAAAGAGCACATCAGTCGAAATAATTTCTCTCTCAGAAATTTTTTCAAGATTATTAATAAAATTATTTCTTTGAGATGGTTTAATTTTCCTTTAACGGGTGATGCATCAAAACATTAAATCAGCATAAACATGAGTTTATTTCATCTTATTATTTCGATTTTGCTGTTTTATTTCACAAACAGTAAAGTTGTGGACCTGGGAGTAGGATCCTTAGAGCTGCCTTGTATAAAGGAGTTGGAGAAAATAAACTTATATATTTAAAATCACATCTTGAACAAACACCCTCACATGCCGGAATCAATTTTTAATCAAAGTCTTACCATGTGTACAGGAGGTGACAGTGAGAAAAATTCTCGACTTTTCTACGTTCTAATATCACATTAAACCTCAGTGTTAAGCTGCTAGATAAGATGGTTCAAGTTAACCTGACTCTATCCCTGTGGATAAAATTTGACTTGAGCAGTAACTTCAAGTACTCACCATAAAATCCAGCATTTATAGCGAAATTCATAAGCGTCGCACCAGCTTCATCTTTAGATGGATTCGAGTATTCATCTGCTCTGGTGACAGAGAACAAATATAAAGTCATGTCTCTATGACCTCTCATTGCAGCCAAGTGAATAGGCAAAGATCCATCAATATTCCAAATATTTGGTAATTCTGGGTTTTTCCTCACAAACAGCTTGGCGGCTTGAATATTTCCAAGCACGGCCACTGCGTGGAGCCCTGTATTACCGAAGTAATCTGTCAAAGCAAGTGCCTCAGGCGGCATAAAATCAACCAGTTTCTTGATAAACGGCAACCTTTGTCCACCCTTAACCGCCACCAGGAGTGGTGTCTCTGCAAATGCAGTTAACCTGGCTGTAATTGCTTCTTTTTCTTCCTTGATGATTGCTTCCACAGTCGCCCAGTCGCCTTGAAGTAATGCTTTGTACAGGGGAAGTGACCAGCTCTGATCATCCTCAACTGATTGAATTAAAGAAAAATGAGGTTATACATCTTCATCTTCAAAGTTAATAATCAGTAAAAATAACAAGAAAAATCAACAACACTCAGGGCCATTTTATAAGAAAATATGGAGATTTTCCATGACTCACCATTTACAACGTAGTCGAAGTTAGTGATGTTGTTATTAATCAATCGCATATTGGGCAACTCCATCTTCTTCAGAAATGATCTGCTATTCAGAATTAGACTATTCTACAGCTGGTAATTATATATATACATAAAGCCCCAATGCTCTGCTTTGTCGCTTCATTACATAGACTTAGACTTCAGTCTTCAGTTGACTTGCAAGTTGCAAATGTTCCTCCTATTTTTATATTGGGCCGGGTCAACTTTAGAAATTTAGACCTTTCTTCAACTTGTATTAAAAAATTCTCTGCTCTGGACTAAAATAAAAAATAGTAATAATTCACTTTGTTAAGTATTAACCATAAATAATTCAATAGCATAGGTGGACATGACACTTTGATCTATTTAAAACTCATTTTATTAAAATATACTTTTGCAAGGATTTCTTTTCCTTAGTGATACAGGGCAAAGCATTAAATTCAACTATCGATCAATAATTGTAACCCTCAAATTAACAATCAAGACCAAGTTTTGGAAGAGAAAAAGCTCTAAATCACTTTTTGTTTAAAATAACGAAGTATAA